GATGAGTGTCTGTGCATAAGTATATAAATGGAGGCATAGAAAATGGTCATGGAATGGAAAATGACTTTTACAGATCAGAACTTTGACTGTCTAGATGGTCAGGATTAAGACAAATCTACTTTGAAAAAATATCTTAATTTTTTTCAAATTCCAATTGTGAATAGAAATGTGGCCACTGATTGGGTATAGCCACTTTAAAATACAACCTAAAGTGATATAGCTCAGTGTCAGTATATTTTGTAACTCCATCCACCTAACATGCATCCAACCAACTCTCCATCCACCCAACTATTTAGTTATCTTCCAAGTCTGCATGTTTTTTCTGTATACCTACTCAATTCTAGGTACTCTGTAAGTTATTTGATTATAATAACAAACAAGATAAATATTCCTTGGCTTCATTTTCTTTGATGCTTAAGGCTGTAGGAGAGAAATCTTAAGTGAAATTTTTACATAAACATTAACTAATTGAAATTGTAGCAAGTGTTAACAATGGGTCATTACAGAACATCATTAACATGCATGATTAGAGATGGGATTCAACATAGTATTATGTAAGTTCAGATAATTTTTCTCTGTGCCAGTGATATTTTGTTTGAAACCTGTTATTTGGGTCAGAGTGGGCTAAAGGGAGGGTAGAAGTAGGGGTGATGGAAAAGTAGGGAGGGATAGCATGTAAAACAGCTCTCTAAGTCAGGATGGGACATGATGCCATTCATTGTAGTTCCCTTTCCATTCCATGCTTCTAGAGGAGCCCCCATTCTTTGGCTTGGGTCTTCCTGAATTTATTTATACCTGTGCTTCTTGGTTCTGATTACACTGGATCTATAAGGATAACCCAGAGAAAACTTTTCCAATTTAATGTCATTGGATTAATTTAAGCATGTGAATATATGGTGCTTCTGTTATTGAGAAAGCAAAGATGGAGGGAGAACAGATTTAGGAATGAGCCGAGATTATGAATTGAAGTTTGAGGATGTTCCAGTGAGATAGCCAAGTAGAGATGTACAGCATACAAACTGGATATATGGCTGAAGCTGGGAGTACATGTTGGAGTTGGAGATATAAATTTTGGATGATGGATGCATAGATGATAACTTATGTAATAAAAACCATCTGTAGAGGGTATATAAGAAAAGAGAGTCTGGAACTAAGACCGACTGTTATTCCTACCCTAAGAAACTCCTTAGTTGATTTTCTTCGCAGTACTTAGAGCCAAGAGTTTTGTTATGTTTTGATGTGGTTATTTTTAGTTACCTATTGAAAAATTTTCCTAGTGACCTCTCCCCTTGCCTCTCATCTTTCTTTCTTTCATATATTCTCCGGATGTGCTGTTTACCTGTCTCTGTTCTCTGAATTTTGTTCCAGGTTCTATAATAATTTTCTTGACATTGTTTATAAGTTTGTGTCCTTATGTTTTCTTATGTAAGATGGCTATTATTTATATTTAAAAGGGGAATATAATAATAAATAGGTAAGAACAAAGGGGATGTCAATCCTATACTTAAAAGTTTTAAATATCCAGTTTTTGAGAGTTTGAGCTGTTGAGTCAGAATTCTGGGCTAAAATTCTTGCTTGCTGTTGTAACCACCCCTGCCTCAGTTTCCACATTTTTATATGGTAATAATTATAGCACTGATCTCAGAGGACTTCTGGAGAAATTAAACAGGAAGTGTGAAGTACATAGAACAAGTACCTGGTGCATGAAAAACACTAAATAAATTCTGGCTATTATTGTAAAGAGAAATAAGAGGACTTGATTTGTAAATCTGCTTGATATGCTCTAAAGACAATTTCCTTTGTAACTCAGTTCTTTGCTGCAGATTCAAATAAAGCTGATTGTGACATGGTAATAGTCAAACATTTATCTAACATCATATGGCATCATAACTAATAATTTAAAAACTGTCTTAAATCAAGTGTGTGCTCAATAAATATTGGCTCATATTTTACTGACCACTGTTGTTTAGGAATATTTTTCTAAACTCATAATATTTCAGCTGAGCAAATCCTTTTTCATTGAATTCTGATCATTCATTGTTATTAACTTGGTGTATGTATCTCTTAAAGTTGGATACTTTCCTCTGTCTTGTATCTCTTCTCTTCTCAAGGTGTGTTGAACTGTATAATTTGTACCTATCACTGCTTCTTGGTTAGAGTACAAAAGCTATATCACCATTTGCCTTAGGAATTTGGTTGGCCATTGGTTAAATAACACACTTTGAGAAGGATTTTAAAATTAGCAACAAAAACTAATTTAAACATCTAAATGAGCTATTAGCAGTTTAATCATCAAAGAGTTGACATTAACATCAAAGTGTTGACACTAAAGTTCTTTACATTTGATTAGCACAACAACTCACTGTATTCACATTTATTCCACCTAGGAGGTTAAGATGCATTATTTATGATTTTGATTCCTCTCTCTGCATGAAATATTAAAACTCAATAGATAGAAAGATGTAAAGAAAAGTGCTGATTTTCATCTAACAGTAATATAAAAACCTGGTGGCAAAAACATTTCATATTTAAAGGGTAGAAATTGTGATGGAATGATTTATTTACATGATTCCTCATACTTAAAAGCTAGATAGTTAGTTTTTGACAGACTCCTGAAATATGAGGAAAAAAATGAGTACATTCTCAGGAAAAACACAACCCAGAATAAGAGCACAGTCTTTAACTATACTCAAAGTTACATCAAGGGATGGGTCTCATAAAAGTTATCCACAAATGCCAGCTGAACCCTTGCTCAGGCAGGAGAGCATTAATGGATCAATGTATTAAACAGAGGAACAAACAAAAACACTTTTTAAAAAAGTGACGAAACAGTGTAAAACATGGATTATTGAAGGAATCTTTATAAAAGCCCATATACACCATATTTTTTGTACTATAGCATGCATTCCTGCCTGCTCTTTTTTTTTTGCTCAGTTTTTAGCCTGTCCCTGCACCGCTGCAGCAATCCTTTAACACAGATGCCTCAGAACTAGGAAGGTAGGCAAGTGATTGAGGAAGGGAAGGAAAGCAAAAGTTATAAGATTCATTTCTGCCTAATTCATTCCATACTGGGGAGAGTGGTGGTGGGGAAGAACATATTTAGACTATAATAGTCAGTTTTAAGCTAATACCATATTTTCTCAGAGGATGGAATGTAGGATGAGTGTATGGTAGATATTCCATTTCATATATTATACTGCCAATTTGGTGAGTACCAGAATAAAAAATGTAGACATTTACATCTGATCAGCTATTAATGTTAATATTTTGGTCCTTACATTATTACTTTGGGAATGAATTTTGAATAATGCTCTTTATTTCTCTCATGTCACACATATAACTAATTGCAAAGAAATCTACATTATCTTCAAAACATCTAATATTTGCCCCCAGGATATTTCAAATGCTTGCTTGCTTCCATTCCCGTTTCCTAGAATCTAGTCTCCGCACAGTAGGATGATTTAATATGTGTGTGATAAAGTTTACACTCCAAATACATTCAGGAAAAAAATAATTTTCTAGCTTATCCTACTAGTTTTCCTACCACTGCCTCTTCACTCTGACCTCACCTCCTGAGGTTCTCCCTTCACTGCCTAGATTGCCACTGAAGCCCCAACTTATAAACTCTGAACACCCTCCAACCAGCTGTAGGCCTTTGCATCAGCTGTTCTCTCTGGATCTTCACCAGACACTGCCATGAGCCCCTCTCATTTACTAAAATCAGTTCTCAAACACAACCTCTCCAGGTTGCCTCCTCTCTTTACCCAAATGTGGTCTCCTCCATCCCTGTAACTGCTTTACTTTTCTTCAAAATACTTTACTCCTTTTGGCTTGATAAGTATTTTTTATTGATTTTTGTTTCTCTTCCTGCTAGAATGGGATTTCCATGAAAAGAAAACAAAAAGCTGTTTGTTTTATTTTCCATTATGCTCCTGCACTTAAATCAGTGTCTAATACATGTTAAGTAATCAAACTATAAAATAGTTGTTGAAAAAATACTAAATGAATGTTTATGAAATTACATGTATGCTGAAAATATTAAAAGACATTATAGTAAGTTTAAAATAGGCTTATTTTAAATTATACCATTGTATTCTTTTTTAAATTATAACTTGGGGATATCTATAGTTCTATTCCTTATAGAATATGCCTTTTACATATTCTAAAGTTGTTCACTGTATAGATACTGCTTCAGATTCAGGGCGGAGTTATTTTCATATTCTATTCATTCTAAAATTACTTTTTAATTTAGAGTTGATCACATTTAAAAAGAATAATGTGAAATAAGCTTGACTTGTCATTTTTGGCCTTATGGAATTACATAAAATCTACAAATATAAAGTATATTTGAAAATAATCTTTGTTTTTACATTGTCTAAATTGTTCTTAAATTCTTTTTTCCTTTTCTACCAAATATGGCTTTTAATTATATGTATTACAGTATTGAAAAGCCACAATGGTGCCTATAATATATATGTTGTAATTGTTCTTTTGAATCATGTATATTTTTATATTCCCTGCTTTCCTTGATTATATTAATCCAGCTTCAGGTCCTTTGGATTGATTAAAATCCTCTGAAAAATGGAATTGGAGGAGGAAGAAAAAGTCACTATTAAAAATATTGACACTTTGATCAGTTTAAGTGGAATCAATTGAAGCAACTGACATTCTCTTATACTTTTAATGATGGTATAAATTGTATAATTTCCCTAGAATGCAATTTATCAGTGTATACATTAAAATTAAAATCCTTAACCACATTTTGTTTGATATAGTGACTTTGGTTTTTTTTTTTTTAAATTGGTTGTTCAAAACATTACAAAGCTCATGATATATCATCTTTCATACATTTGACTCAATTGGGTTATGAACTCCCATTTTTACCCCAAATACAAATTGCAGAATCACATCGGTTACACACTCACATTTTTACATAATGGCATATTAGTGACTGTTGTATTCTGCTACCTTTCCTATCCCCTACTATCCCTTGATTCCATGTGCAAACTTAATCACTACCTTACCTGATGTTGTAGAAACTAGGAGAACCAAACTTGCTAAACTAATCATGGTAATAGGCATTTATTAGCCTCAGAAGCTACTGAGGTGGCCCATTCCATCCAGTACAGTGTAAATACCCATATTGCATTTTTTTTTTAATTTACTACCTAAAAGTTAGAATTGCTTTTTAATCTTTTACACTTTGGTCTATAAATGAAATGAAAAATAATATTTGATTAAGGATTTTTTTCTTTTATTTTTGCATCATGGCAATAGGACAATATAATCTCATCAATGGTGGGGTTTGGGAAAGTGAACTTAAGAACATAAATAAGTACCTGTAATGGAAAGTGGATTATTCAACTTCTGTTTACAAAATCTTTCATCTTTTCAATTGAAATTTAATATTCCATATCCTATTTAGCTATGATTTAAAAAAATATATTCCTATCCTTTACTTAGTTTTGCAGAAAATAATAAATTAGGATTCCAAGTGAGTATTGAAAAAAAAGGGCAAAGATGGGTGCATAAATATTTCTATCTTAAAATGGCATAGTATAATGAAACACAAAAAAATAATAAAACAAGGTCTTACACTGTCTTTCAATTTTGCTCTGGTTATGTTAATTGAGGTGAAAATATACAAAGTTGAATATAAATTATGATCCACTTTTAAACATGTAAATGCATGTTTAAACAAAAGTATATTCATTTAGTGGGAAACAAAACCCAAGTGTTAACATTAATAAGCAGAACTCTTTTATTTTCCTAATTCAGGTATCTTCATGATGATTGTTCTCGTGACAATTTTCAGGCATAAATGCTTTCAAGGCCAGGAGTGATTTCATCTCCTTTAACCCAGAGATAAGATTTGGAACTAAATCAACTTTATCCTTGGTCTCTTCTCATCTGTCTTTTAGTGTTTTCTCTACCTTCCTGCTTTCCTTTTCCTTCCCATTTTGCAGAATCAATCTTCACAGCAAGAATATGCCTTTTACATATTCTAAAGTTGATCACTATATAGATACTGCTTCAGACTCAGGGCGGAGTTATTCTCATATTCTATTCATCCTAAAATTACTTTTCTAGGAAATGCAGAATTCTAAAGAATAATTCCTTTAGGATGTATTTTTGAGTAATTAATCTTGGACAGCTTAGTAAGAAGTGTTTTGTTGTCTGGTTACTGGTGAAGAGAAGTTGTACTTTTCCAAATAGTAATTTACATGTAAATAGCTATCACCAAATAGCAACAAGAGCATAACAATAATCATGCAGCTGTTTGCATATCATTTGCTTTTTAAGGACCCCCAAGGAGAAACATAAATGAATAACCATGGGCAAACTGATCTATTTTCTTTTGCTATAGGAAAGCTGTATATGTGTCTAGTGTAACCCATTTCCAGCTGAGAACAGAGCAATACTGTGTTTATGCTACTGGACAGTTCCTAGCCAAGCAGAAAAGGGCATAGGATAGTCTCTACAGAGGTTGTGCTCTGCCTCTTATTTGCACAGGAGACCACTCTGTAGCATAAGTAAGTGTTCTTGTCCGGTGGGGGTGAATATGCAAAGAATGGCTTACATTATTTTTTTAAGCCTGTCTTTTAAAAAGGAGATTATTAATAGCTTGCAAACTGACAGTTAATATAGAAATATTTTGTAGTTTATGAAATTTAATACCTATGGCTGGCATTTTAAATTTCTATTTTTTCTAGATATACAATATAATTTGAAACTATATATATACAGAACAATATGTGCATAATGCTTTTTAGTTACTAAAAGCTATTTCCATGTCTATTTTATAATTTTTAAATATACATTCTTAATAATTACACACAAGAAACATTTTATAACAAGATAGATATTCTTGAAGAAAAGAAACACATTCTAACCATTAAAATAACTTATTGTATTCAAAAGCCTTTGAATATGGTGAATTCTGTCAACCTTGTATGGTCAGGTAATTGGGTAAACCATAAAATATGACACTAATATAAAATCAGTTTCCAAAATGAAAAAGATGTACTAGTTAAAATTCAAAGTAATTACAAATCCTCATTAACTCAGCCCAGCTGAAGACAATAGATAAGTCTAAAATGCTGCCTGGCTTCAAATCAATCCCTTGTTATTAAATAGTTTGCGACCAGTAATTTATTATTGACTCAAAGAGTCATTTCAGTTTTACATGAATGTTTTTTTTTTAATTTCTATGTCCAAAAAATAAGAGACAGTTATGTTTAGAAGACACTAAGATCTAATGAAAAGTACTGTCTTTACACTGGCCTTTCACGTCTTTGGTATTGATTACAAGACATTCAGAATCATTCAGAAGGTCAGCAGCTTTCATTCTCCTACAACGAGCAGCAGTGTAGTTCAATGGGAATGAGAAAATCTTGTGTGCAATTCCCCAAACCTCCATTCAGCAATATAATTATATGAGTAAATTTAAAGTAGTTATTTTAAAAGCACATAATATATGTAAAAGTAATACATATTTTAAAGACAGCTACCATATTTATCTCAGACCGTGACTCTGACGAGTTAGATTTCATCTTCAATTTTAACAAACCTTTGTAAATAGAGTTATTATCCTGCCCATTACAAGGATGAGGAATAAAACCTCGAGTTTCATTCAATAAGTTAGATAAATTTTCCCAGTTCAAACTGAATTCACAATAGGATTCAATTACATAGCTTACATCAATCTCACAGAGCAAGTCAGGATCTCCTATGTAGTCCATCTAATAATGAGACAATATGTATTGTCTTCTGACTCTGAAGCCCTCCTTCAGTTGACACATTCACTTATTTATTCAGGTGAATAATATTCATTTATTGAATAACTAGCAGATTTTGTGTTAAATAAAGTATGCATGCAACATGCACTTTTGTGTTGAAATAGAACACCATTTGAAAAGAAAGTCTGCAAAAGTTAGTGTACTGATTTTTTTTTTTTAATAGGATTAGACTTCCAGGTATTCTTAAGTTTTATATTTCTCAAACCTAGTAATCATAGCTGCATGTGCTATGCCCATCACAAAGAGATTTTCAGATGGTAGACAAGACTTTACTAGCATGAGATATTGGAGGTGACCTTGGGCAGAGGGATTGATATTGGTTGAGTATATACTATGTGGTAGACATTTTAGATGTACTAACTATTTCATGTAATTGTCTCAGAAATACTTTTTGGGGGGAATGGATATTATCAGGCCAGGAGACTACATGTTTAGTGTTTAGGGATTTTTAGTTTCTTGAGCCTGTAATTTTTGACATAAATAAGCTAATACAATCAAAGTAGTGGCAGATGGAAATAGCATTATTTATTGCCACCATTTTGTATGAGAGGAACAGAAGTTCAGAGAAGTGATTCACTCAAGGTCACAAAGTAAATCAGTGCTCAAACTATATTGAGACATAGTAGAACCCAGGTTTTGGAATCCTATCCCCAAATTGGTTTTGGGCAATGGTTATCAGTGGTTTTAATAGGCACACAATATTCTTGTTTAAAATCTATTGTGTTTTCAGAAGTAACACAGCAGGTCTTTCTCTCCAAGAAAACAAGCATGCACTTATCTCTGTATTTCTTGCTTCTTTTATCCCCCTCCTCCCCTGCCAACCAATACAAGTTCAGTGGAAGAAGTAGGGCTGGCCATGTGACTTTGATGGACACATTTACTGGCTGGAAAGAAGTCAGAGAAGCTGAGAATTTCTTCACCTGCCACCTGTGATGTGCTTTCAAGGCAGGCAATTCAATTTACACTATTATCCCAAAAGAGCTTCTTGGAAGCTGTTATCCAGTATTTCATTTGCTTTGCTATGTGCCAATGCAATCTTTTTAAAGTAAGTTTAATTCCTGTATTTTGCTTCCTATCAGCCATTCAAACTTGCAAGAAGAAATGTGAAAAAATCTACATATGAATAATACAAGACCTGCCTAAAGATGAGATTAGTCAAGAATATATTAGGAATAAAAATATAAATATATTCCCATTATACAAAGAAAAATGCAATTATAATAGGTAATTATATTTCTTTCTATTTAGTTCTCAGAAGTCATTTTAAAAAATAGTTTAAAACAAACGAACAAACAAACTGGGTTTACACTCTTCTCTCTTCTCAGGGAACCAAGGTTCATAACAAAGTTTTCTTTTCAAAAATTTCCTCTGATAATCAAGCCAATGATCAGTGGTATCTGAATATACTGTGCTTGCAATCTTCTAAGTCCAGTTTAAAACTGTTGAACATTTTTTAATTATATAGGACATCTTCCATGTTTCATGGGTGTTTACAAGTTGCAATTGTCTAACATAAATATAAGTGTGACTTCTTTTGGTTTTGCTTTTGCCCTTGGCAAGGTAAAATGTAGAATATGTTTTCTCTATTTTGAAAACTGCTCTTCATAGAATGAAATATGGCTGAATTATGCTGACCTAGCACTCAGAGGGACTGATACTCCTATCTCTGTGTGCTGCTATGGATGGATTCCAAATGTGACTTTTTGGAATAAGAACAATTCATGCCTGGAGCTCAAGCTTGGGTCAGATGCCAAGAGGTTTAACTGTTATACTGGCTTAGAGATTGTCTTAAGGTACCAGAAGAATGGAAGATCAGCCAGAGGTTGCTCTATTTCAGAACCAGAAATGGCTTCAGACAGATTCATTTGACACATTGTCTTCTTTATCCCTTTTGCAATCACTGACTGAATTTTTCATATGAATGGTTTGAGGTAATATGTGAATATAGAATCAGATATTTTTCTTTATTTAAGCCTTTCTGGCTTTTACAGAGTTTTTTTGGCTTCTGAGTTTCAAAAATAAAAATACTTTATAATATTATCCAAAAATAATGTCTAAATTTCCACTTAAAATTTTAGTTCATGTATACAGCAACGGATAAAACAATGTCTCAAATTCCACTAAAATTATATGATTTAAAAAATCACAATATAATTTAAAAATATTTATCTTTCATCAAAATATTGTTGATGTAAACTGAGACTATGGTCTTTTTTTTTTCCAAAAAGTAATTTTTAAAACTTTGGGGAAACTGAGATAGAAGCATCCTATTTCACTGACCCAACTTCTTTTTGGAATAAGAACAATTATTGCAAAAATAATTGGAATTACA